TTCCTTCCTTCCTTCCTTCCTTCCTTCCTTCCTTCCTTCCTTCCTTCCCTCCCTCCCTTCTTCCCTTCCTCCCTTCCTCCTTTCCTTCTTTCTTTCTTTCTTTCTTTCTTTCTTTCTTTGAGTCTCACTCCGTCACCCAGGCTGGAGTGCAGTGGCGCAATCTCGGCTCACTGCAACCTCCACCTCCTGGGTTCAAGCGATTCTCCTGCCTCATCCTCCCCAATTCTCCTGCCTCATCCTCCTGAGTAACTGAGATTACAGGTGCCCACCACCATGTCCAGCTAATTTTTGTATTTTTAGTAAAGATGGGGTTTCACCATGTTGGCCAGGCTGGTCTCGAGCTCCTGATCTCAGGTGATCCTCCTGCCTTGGCCTCCCAAAGTGCTGGGATTACAGGAGTGAGCCACCAGGACCAGCCTAGCCAGATTTTTTTCATGCATCTTATGGAATACTCACAATTATATAAAGCAAGTCATTACATCATCCCCATTTTATTTATTTATTTTTAATTACTATTATTATTTTTTGAGATAGAGTTTCTCTCTGTCGCCCAGGCTGGAATGCAGTGGCATTATCTCAGCTCACTGCAACCTCTGCCTCCTGGGTTCAAGTGATTCTTCTGCCTCAGCCTCCCAAGTAGTTGAATTACAGGCACACACCACCGTGCCCAGCTAATTTTTGTATTTTCAGTAGAAATGGGGTTTCGCCATGTTGGCCAGGCTGGTCTCAAATTCCTGACCTCAGTTGATCTACTGGCCTTGGCCTCCCAAAGTGCTGGGATTACAGATGTGAGCCACTGCGTCTGGTCTCAACATTTTCTAAATGAGACACTCACCTCTCAAACGTACTGTGCCTTTTCTCTTCATGCCAAATAAAATATTCCTAAGACCATCATATCAAATCCAGTGAGTGCAGTGGATTTGCTGATGATAAATGGGATGCCGGCTTTCTCACTCTGTTCTTCCTGCTGAGCTTTTCACCATTAAAGACAGATACTGTGCAAGGAGCATTGTATAATTCTAAGTTTTTGTCATCTTTTCTAGTGGAAAAAAATATAT